TCATACAACCCTGTTGCTGCTTCTGTTAACTTCTTACTGAGCCCTTTTTTTTTTTCAGTTTTCCAAAGTGAAATAAGAACTAGCAACTTTCCAAGGATCTTCCAGGCCTTTGGTGCCAGGCAGGGACAGGTGAGATACCCAGCCTCATAAACTGAGTAACTACCTGGTTGCTGGTCACTCTGGTGTGAGGTGGTCAGGGCCCATGCCTACCATGTAAGCCAAACCCAAGAAGTCATTGGATTTTAGAATCCAATCATTCGAAATCCAGAAACCTGTTGCTTCTGGTCCTCTAGAGAGGCCTGAGTAATACATTCTCCATTCTGGCTCCTGTGAGAGCATCAGCAAGCTCTCTGCCATGATGGTCTGTCTGCTTTACCAGAACCCAGAAGCAATAGGCCCGAGTCACCGAAGACTGAACATCTGAAAAGCCCAATCCCAGACATATTTATCTCCTTTAAGTTGATTTTGCAGGTGTTCTGTCACAACAACAGGAAGCTGAGTGACACCCAGGACAATAATTCCTTCCCATCTCTTCGGAATGATATTCTCTTGGATTAAACAAGTCCTTCCTTCCTTCCAACTTTATCTCTTGAGGATAGTGTTTGAGTGGCTGCAGATGGACCTGTTATGTGGAAGTAGATAATCTGTTTTCATTGCATACAATGACCTTTTTGAGTTGAGGTTGGATCAACTTGAGACTCTGAAAACTCATAAAATTAGAATCCTCATTTCCTGCTTGTGGAGTTCTATCAACACTGGATGGGAGGCCTTTTCTTTGATGTACTATTTGCAAGTATTTCCTGAAGGCTTACTTCTGATTACTTAGTAATCAGAAGTGTTGTTTAGGGTAGCAGAATGGCTCAGCAGGTGTTCTAATTAGCATTCATGTTGCTGAGATAGACAGCTTGATCAAAACTGCTTGGGAAGAGAGGTTTCTTTCCTCTCACAGGTTCCCATCATCCAGTGAAGCCAAGGCAGGAACTCAAGGCAGGAGCTTGAAGCATTGAGGATCTCTGCTTATGGGCTTGCTTCAAGGCTCATGCTTAGCTTGCTTTCTTCACATCCCAGACCCACCTGCCTAGGAATGGCATCACTCACAGTGGGCTGGGCTCTGCCTCATCCATCACCAGTCAAAACAGTTCCTCGCTGGTCAATCTGATGCAGGCAGTTCCTTAACTGAGTTTTCTTCTTCCCAGGTGAGTCTAGTTTGTGTTAAGTTGACAACAAAAAGCAGTATAGCAGGTAAAGATATCTTCCCTCAGGCCTCACAATCTGATTTCCATTTTCAGGATCTACACAGGGGAAGGACAGAATACACACACATGCGTGAGCGCGCGCGCTAAAGAAAAACTAAGGAAAATTTTAAAAGAAGTACAGTGTTTAATTTGCAAGTGGTAGAGACTCACCATCATGCCTCCATTATTGATTTCTGGTTGGTCCATTTAAGTAGAAGATATTTTATGGTCTTAAATGTATCGACTTAATTTATGCCATTTAATATAGCCAATCTTGCTGGTTTATGCTTACTTTATTGAGACAACTTTATATTATGTGTTCTATAGTAGAGGGGAAAAAATGTGTTTCTTTCTGCATGTATGTATTGATACTCCAGGTATACTTGTGCTCTTGGTGGCAACATGGGTTATGAATATTAACACAGATCCTGGATGCAGTCAGATCATGAACTCAGACATGGCCCTAGGCGGCAGCACAGGCCCTGACATCACCCTGGTCCCAGATGGCAAGCAGAGGGCCCACCTCAGTCCATTCCTCACTTCCCTCACTTATGCAGAACCGACTTTCATCCTCTCTTCCTCTCCATTTCTCCACCATATAATGGCCTATGGAGCTGTGTGGGGCTATGGATAGCTTCACCCTGCATGGGCTGTGTCATTTCTGTTTTTTTCTATTTCTCCACTATTATGCAATGATCTCTTTAACATGATGATAGCAACCTCCAACTTATTTTTCTGAAAAGGACACGATTTCATTCTTCTTGATGATGAAGTGATGCTCACACACATACATACATAAACATACATGTGCACACACATGACAATCTATTTTAAAGTCTTTGAATATATTTTTATTTGTTTGTTTTGTGTTTTGTTTTTCAAGACAGGGTTTCTCTGTATTGCTTTGGAGCCTGTCCTGGAACTAGCTCTGTAGACCAGCCTGGCCTTGAACTCACAGAGTTCTGCCTGCCTCTGCCTCTGCCTTCCAAGTGCTGGGGTTAAAGGTATGCGCCACCAATGCCTGGCCTCTTTTAATCTATTAATAGATATAATCAGACCCTAGTTATGAGTGCCTCATAAAGTATGTGCAGGTCTCCAGCATGCACTCAGTTCTATCCCTTCAGAGTTGTATCTCCAGTCATATTGCTAAATCATGCGGTGCTCTTAGTTTGGGTGTTTTGAAGCACCTCCATACTGATTTCCACTGTGGCTTCACTATTTTACATTCCCACAAATAGGGCCTGGGAAGAGGTGTTTCTATCTCCTCAGATCATGATATTGCTCTCTTTGCAAAGCTATTGAACATGGACATTGCTTGAATAATTATTTCTTTGAATGGAAAGAACATGAATGGCAACATCAGCATACTGAAACCTGAGATGCTGTCCCTACACAAAATCCTCAGAGGCTCAGCTGAGCCTCCTCCAGGGTAGACCACTGACACACAATTGCTTCCTTTGGAGCTGATCACATTCTCTGCTGTTCCTTAATGCCCAATACTGCTCAGGATCACAGATTCTATCTTCCATCCACTCCTTACTTTCTGAATATACTTTCCCACAGGAAGAGAAATGGGGGACCTGGATAGCAGCAATGGAAAAGCCAGAGGGAGATTCTGGGCATCTGGTAGATTGTGGCACACATAAGACCATACATGAATTTAGGGAGGTTTGATGTTGGCATCATGAAGATAGAGTTCACAGGTGTTAGGTTATTACAAGTGTGTGTGTGTGTGTGTGTGTGTGTGTGTGTGTGTGTGTGTGTGTGATGGCATGCATGCATGTGTGCACCTACATGCTGACATGCATATGTTCATATGTACTGCACACCTATGTGTGTGAGGGCGCGTGCATTTGTCTGTGTGCATGAACAGAGGCCAGAGAATTTCAGGTGATCTGTTCTATCATTCTCCATCTTATTCTCTTGATACAGAGTCTCTCTGAATCTGAAGCTACAGTGTCAGGACCCAGCCCCAGTGATCCTCCTGTTTCCACCACTACAGGGCTGCAGCCATATATGGCATTTTAAAACATGGTTCTGGACATTTGAACTCAAGTGCTCATGCTTGGGCAGCCATCAGAAGAGGTTGTTACATCTTTTGCAACTGGACTTACAGATTACTTGGAGCCACCCAATGTGGATGCTTGCAACAGATCTCAGGCCCTCTTCAAGAGGAATAAGAACTCTTAACCACTGAGTCATCTCTCCAGTCCCTGGTGGCCATCTTTTGTAACTATTCATTAAATTTGTTCTTCTCATTGTCAGCCTCCTCCATCTCCCTACCACCTCTGTCCACTCCCTACCCTCTCACAAATCTCACTCTTGCCCATATCTATTTATTTGTGTAAGGTAATGTGTGTGACCGGGGTCTGGTGTTATCCATTGGTACCTGGTGGGCTCAGCAATGGGTACACAACCAGAGACAATGATTTTCCTCTGTCAGAACCTATTAACAGCTGTTTTGAGGTAATGGATAGGGCCCTGCGGGCACTTCCCATTCCTTAACTGATAGGGCAAATCTTGCATGGGTCCAGTGCAGGCACTGCTGTTGTGAGTTCATGATTGCAAATAGTTGCATGGATACTAGAGAATTTCACTTGTGTAGCCCTTGACGCTTGTATACTTTCTGTACCCTCTTCTTAAATGTTCCCTGAGCCTTACAGAGTGATGACTATATGTCTTCTTAGAGATGAACCCACAACTATCACTTACTCCCAACATCTTTGGCAGTCACCACCTCTAAATTAACTGCTGTTCATTGCAAGAATACTTTCTCAATATGATCTCTACTCTATTCCTAGATATATCCTAAGAGAAGCTTATAAGTGGCTTCCAGGTTTAACTTTCTGAAAGTAACACATCTGTTTAAAAAAAAACTAAAGCAACTTGATGCATAGGTCAGGATGAGCTTCAACACTCTAGTTAGGAGGGTAGCAGAGACATATACTGTAGATAAGGAAGTTTCACTCATCAGATAGCCTTACTGCTTATGCTCTCCCTGTAGCTTCTTCCTCTCCTAATAAAGGACATTAGCATACTTGGGCTCCCCAAGATGAAACTTAGGTGGTGACAACCCTTCCTGTTCAAGGGAGGCAATTGTTGAATATACCTGATTCCTTTGCATCAACTCTCATTTTTTAAGCAATGGATCTGATTGACATACATTTTGCTGCTATGATAAAATACCAAGACAGGAAACAATATAGGGATGGAAGAGTTTATTTTGGCTAATGGTTCCAAACAGATAGAGTCATTAGTGTTCACAGAGGCAAAGTAACAGGCAGGGAAAGGGAAAGCATGACACAGGAACAGGAAGCTGGCTGATCATATTGTCACCCACACACAGGATGCAGTGAGAACAGCAAGTGAGGTGAGAATATAAACTCCAAAACCCATCCCTACTGATGTGCTTGCTTTCTGTAGCTGCTAAGATTCCATAGAACCCTCAAACAGCACCACCTACTGGAGAACAAGGGGCTGACTATCAAGCCTCTGGGGAACACTCTCAGTCAAACCACCACAAATGGTGATCCATGCAGAACATTATCCAGGAAGATAGCTGAAAATATGGTTCAGAACCACAACCTCAACCAAAGTAAACTGTAGGCACAGGAGAGGGCAGAGAGTGGCCCAAGCCTTTGGGGACAAAGTGTGTGGAAAGTGGAGCCAGGGCTATTGTTGAAAGCCCAGTACCTACAGAAAGGCAGAAGGAACTGGAATGAATGCACTTAAAGTTTGACTAAGTGATAAAATATTGGTCAAACAGTGACCATGAGATGGATAGATTTCACCTAGAACAATGAGATGCAGGCTTCTTGCAGATCCACAATTTCTCCAAGGAACATAAGTTATCATTCCATCCATTATCTGAAAAGTCTGCACAGTCCTCGTCAACCAGGTTATTGGGCTCCTTTGGAGCCCAATATTTCCTGAAATTGAAAACCCCCAAATAACATGAGCTTCTGTCCCAGCACTATGCTGTCAATATTTCTAACTTGGGGCATTAGGAGGCTTTCACATCTACTCCATGTACATATGACAGCCATACCTCACCCAGAATCTGATGGCATGCCTAAGTTATTTCTATGAAAAACCTTATTCTACAACATGGAATTTGAGAGACTTTAAAATGTGAAATGGAGGCAGTTCCATCTTTGCTTTTGGAGAATCTGGTGGCAGCCTGGCAAGAAGCAAAAAATGGCTGCCGTGCAGATTTGATGCAGAGCAGTGGTTTTTATATTCCTTACTGTATTTTTCTGTCCCCCTTTATTCCTCATTGGTTAAGTTGTTCAGCAAGGAACAGTCTTCCCAACATCTAGTGTAGCTTCCTTCCAAATTCCCATCAATTGAGTCAGGACACAAAGCCTTGTCTAGAAAATATCCTGGAGCTTGAGATTTCTTCCCTGCCATCCCTGATACATGGCTCATTACGTAGCAGCTCCTCTGTAACTTTCTAACCATTATGTAAACTGAGATCTCCTGACAAGCCAGCACGAGCTGGGGAAATCAAGGGCCCAGATGTCCTGCTTATCTGTATTCTTTGGTGATCTGTAAGCATGTCTCTTGCAGGAAATGGAACATTGTGACATCTCCTCACCCACTGACATTTCAGAGTAGGTTGGTTTACAAGTGTCCCTGTTTCTTCCCATTCACTTGTCCCTTTTCACATTCACCATGGTATGGAACAAACCCTAGGTAGCTCCCACATTGTCATTTGTCTTTAAGTGTGTCAAGCTGCATTTTTGAAGGCAAGCACACTCCTGTCTTTCAGATTCTCTAAGTACTCTGCATTAGATCATTCATTGCCTCAGAACTGAGACTTTTGAGCAAAACAATCTCCATTTCGTGCCATCATTTGTTTCTGCTTGCAAAACCTATCTTGATTGTTCTGGTGGACAGTTCACATTTCCTACTAGGAGGGGTTGGGGAGGGTCATTGACTCCTCACCTGAGTTTCCAGCCACCCCTTCAGTGAATAGGAACTAGTCACACTCCTGTAGGGAGAAAATCCTGCACTGCTGACCACACTGCTAACTCATCTGAACTCATCTCAACACACATCCCAACAAGAAGCTGTCATTCCTTGTCATGCCTAGCAGATCAAGGATCAGGTTGGAACCACAACTGTGTTTTGGGACATAGTTTCACCCCAAACACACTGTATTACCTCCATTTCAGCGGTGAACCATCCACCCACAGCCATTGGCCTTCCTGTTTCATGTCTGACAGCCCCATCCAGGCATAGCCTTTCTTCTTAGAGGTCTGCTTCAGGAAGCCCTTGAGAGGAAAGAGAAGCCATGATGGGGATCTGCCATCATTTCCTACATTTGCCCTCTCAGTATCCAAGGTCTGCTTGCAGTTAGACCCTCAGCTTGCAAACCCACACATGTGCTACGATACCCTACTCACACTTTACATGCATGCATGCAGAGACACGGATATGATGATCAGGCCAGACCTCACACAGGCTCTCTCTGAGACAGAAAATTTAGATACAGTGTGTGTTGTAACTTGACAGATATTAATATGGAGAATTTGGCTCCCCTTTGTCTCATATGCTTGGCTGAACTAAAATAATGTGACTTGTTACTAGCTCCCCAAACTTAGAAAAGTTGTATTTTCCTAGGTTTTTGACATCTCTACGGATTGGAGTTGGTTCTGTTGTTATCAAGAAGGTCAGAGATTCAATTCAGATCCCTGGGCTTGGTAACAAGTACTTTTACCCACTGAGTCATCCCACAGGTCATAATCAGAGCTATAAACACCAATTGGAAGTACTTATTAAACTGTCCAGCCCTCAACAAGTGTCCCCTTCATATTTAGTGTTCCCTAATTCATGCATCCAGGGTATCATTTTGTATTTATCTGAGTGCACATTGTTGGACCAGCCCCTCCCTTTCCACAGTTGTGGTATCTTCCCTTTTCATGTGCAGTAAAGAATACTGATCTGGAAAATTCTACCTAGCCAGGACCATGTCCACACAATATACCTGCTCCTCATCACTCTTGATGACAACAAGTTGGGCCCCTACTTCCTCGCAAGCATTGACAGCGTCCTTCCAGGGCAGTTGGAATGTGGAGAAGAAGTAACAGTTTCCTTGGAAGAGGGTCCAGTCCCAGGGGCAGGGGCGGCACAGGTTGTCTGTTGGGGAAGTGGTTCAAGTTGAACACATAGAGGTATCCATGTTTCAGCCTTCAGGTCCTGGAGATTGAAACTGCATATGGGGAACATACTCTATCTTTTGTGGTGTGTGTTCTTCCTGCTTTGTTGTTGTTGTTGTTTTGGTTTTGTTTGTATGTTGTATTCATGTGTGTGTATGTGTGTGTGTGCATATGTGTGCATGTGTGTGCACTAGTATGTGTATGTGCACTGTACTGTGTGGTACCAAGTGGATGTCAAAGTAACTGTTGGAAATCTTCCTCAATCATTCTCTCTTTTTTAAAAATGTCATATATACATATATGTATATATATGTGTGTGTGTATATATATACATATATATATATATATATATGTATATATAACAATAAAAATAAAGAGAAACAGGCCATCAACATGAGAAAGATAGGGGATGTCAAAGGAGGAGTGACAAAGGAAAGGAGGAAAATGATGTCATAATTTAAATAAAATTTTAATTAAAAATATGTTATTTAGTTTTTAACATTTGGTACATGCAGACAATATCTTTTGGGGCTTGCTTATTTTGAAATTATAACTTATCCCATTTCCCCCTTCCATTTCCTCTCTCCAATGCACTCCTGTATCCCTCTCCATTCTCCTTCAGAGAGCTGACTGTTACCACATGAATATTGTATTCAGTCTTTGGAAAAAAGTTCACCACTCCCACCCTTCAGCCCCCTCCTTTCAGAATGACCCTGCCAACTTGAGGCGTTGTTGCTTCACCCTACTGGGTCCAGCAAGTTACTGCCAACCAGCATGTCTATAGAGCTAGGCCTAACCCCACCCTTACCTCCCTCCCTCCTGCGTGCCTCCCTCTCTCTCTCTCCCTTCCTCCTTCCCTCTCTGCCTTCCTTTTTTCCTCCCTTGCTTCCTTTTATCCTCTCTTTTGAGACTGGTTCTCTCACTGAACATGGAGCTCTCTGTTTTGGTCATACTATCAAGTGAGCCCTAGAATCTTCCTGTCTCCCCAACACCCCCTGAGTCATAGGCCTGTGAAGCTGTGCTCAGTTTCTATGTGGGTGTGTGGGATCTGAACTTGAGATCTCATGCTTGTCAGGTAAGCACTTGTACACCCATTCCCCTCTTAACTCTCTGAGTCTGTTCCCTCCAGGGTAACCTACAAGGCTGTTACCACATCACATAACAACAGAGAACAGCGGGGACCTGAAATGTCAGAGCAGAGACAGGAGTCTGGTTTAACTGAGTGTCTTCACTGTGCATGGGCTCTGGGTCTAGTGAGTGCCAACTTTAAGGTCACTCTGTGTTCCCATTCAACAGGTAAAGAAACTGAGGGACTGGAGACCCAGTCTCTGAAGTCACCTCCTACCACATGGAAACCATTTTTTCTGGTCACTTACCTAGACCAGCCTTCAGGTGGTCTAGTTCCTGGTGGATGCGTTGCTTTTCCTGTTCCTGCTCCTGGGAGTTGGGAACATCAGGGTCTATGACAAGAAAGTGAAGATGGAAACATTAAATGTTGATAAATGTAGAAGAGAGGAAGCCATTGGTTCAGGACAGAGCCTGACACAAACTCCCCTTCAGGGATTAGCTCTATTACAAGGGCTTCAAGCCTGTAACCAGGACTCTAGGTTGGAGAGCATTAGGAAAAAAAAAACACATTACTAAATGAAAAACAATTTAAAAGTTCCATAAAGTAAAAGAGAGGCTTCCCTTTAACACCTGGGAAAGAGTTTCAAGTAAGAGTAAGAAAGACAGCCTTCCCCTCAGGATGACAGGGCAAGACCACAGCGTCCTTCAGAGAAGTTCCCCTAATGCAGGAAATGGCTGACTTCCTTACATTTTCAGGGAGTCACAGGACATTTCACCACATGATTCATTCAATGTGGTATAGGTGACAAAGAGCACAGAGCAGTCAGGTCCCATACCCTGGGAGCCAAAAACCACACACAGATGCTTTTCAGCTCTCTGACCGGGAAAAGGAGAGCTGCTAGGAGTTAGGGCTGACTGCTCCAGCCTGTGGGATCCAGGATTTAGAGCGACCAGAAGCTCTCAACGCTTCCCTAGGGGCTCCTAGCAGTAATTGTGATTGACACAGAGACTCAACCACTCAATGTGCAAACTGTAAGATCCTATGGAGATCTCATCACACAGGGACATCTCTAACACAACCCTAACCAGAAGCTCAGGGATCATCATAGGAGGGGCAGGAAGCCTGTCATGGGCAGATGCAATGGAGGAGGATGCTGCAATGCTGTGTTCTCTGGACTCAACAGGCCTGGTGCTCACATAGATGCACAGTGCTGTGCCTGCAACTCAAACCTAAGCTAAGTCAGAAATCATCCATAATAGATGGAGAAGGACAGACAAATCCCCAACACTAGGTGGGCAATGGTTAGCAATTGATGGCTGCTGTGGGAAGGAGAGTCCAGTCTCTTCAGCCCCTGGAGACTACTCATAATCCAGAAGATGGCCTTACACCCATGTCTGTGGATACAGGAAGTAGATTCAGGGGACTATGAAAATGAAGGGGCGCAGGAACTTGGGAGGAAAAAGGGGTGGAGGACAAGGGAGGACCTGGAGGGCAGGGAGGAGATAGTGGACTTGGTTGAAATATTATATTCATGTGTGAAATTCTCAAATAATAATATTTAATGGCAGAGCAGACTATGACCTAACTGACATGTGTTGGGTCTGCAAGAACATCATGTTCTTATTTGAATTTGTCTCATTTGAAGATGAGGAATCCTGGTACCCAGGGAACTCTAATCACAGGCAAAATGCAGTCAGATGATGCCCCTGAAACCACTCCGTTCCTGCCACACAGGAGTCTTGAGAAGACCCTGTTCCCAGAAGGCATGTAAACCACAGTCACATCTTCAGTGTCACCTCCACACCCATGCTGAAAGGTGAGAGCAAGAAGCCCCAACTGTGAAGTTTCCTGACCTTTGACAAGGACAGCCATGAGGAGGGCAGCCAAGAGCACAAGGGAGATGAGCTGTAGTACAGTGATGAAACGGTCACAGTGCCGACACCCTGAGGAAAGAAGCTTGAGTGGTCCAGCAGGCCATTGTCACACCCTGCAGCAGGGATAGCCTGGCCCACTTTCCCCCTCAGAACACACACTACAGGCTCTCAGTCATCATTCTCCTGCTGCCTAGGTTTTCCTGTCGCTCGTCTGCCACGTGAACATCAGTAGTCTGTTTCCAGTCTCAGCTATCCCAGGGCCCTGCAGGTCAACCCTCCAGTCTTGAACTCTCTGGCAGCAATAGCAAAGATCCTCAGTCCCTACCACCCCATGAGCCACGAGATCAGCTCCCACTTGCCACTTCCACAGATTCAGGACTTCAGATCCCAGCTGTGTTTCTTATGATTGTGGCATTTAGCACTCTCCCTTATCCCACAGGATTGAGGATTCCTGTTTCCCAGTATGCACCTCACCTAAACAGAGCTCCATCTCCTAGACCCCACTTCTCCAGGACACAGGAGGTCAGACTTGCCGTTTACCTCTCTAAGACCCAGGGATGAAGTATTCACCCTCCTCCTCTTTAGCAACTAGCAATGCAGCCTCCAGCCCTCACTTCTTCAGAATAGAGGAGTCTAAACCATCAGCTCTACCTCCACAAGTTCCAGGGTTCCAGGTCTACAGACCTACAGTGTTTTAGGACTCAGGACTCTAGACCCGAGCCTCCACCTCCACAGTGTCTAGGAGTCAAGCCCTCAACTGTTCATCTCCTCATGACCCAGCTTTCTAACTTCACACTCTCTGTTCCCTAAACTTGAGAACATAAACCTGTAGTCCCAATCTTCCCAGGACCCAAGGATGCACAAACCCAATCTCCCTGTCCCCAGGACTGAAGACTGCCTGTTCTGTCCTCTCCTCAGTACCTCACAAAGCCTTGTTTCTTTCACAAACACTGAAGCCATGAATAGGCTGTAGTCCAGATCTCCTTATGAATAGCTGGTACTCCCGGCCACAAGCTCCATCACTGAGCGGTGTCTCATCTATCAGAGCATGAGCATGCTGAGACCTGAGCTGCCCCTCTTGGCTCTCCCCTGAACTCCCTGATTCCTTCTCAGCCTCACCCAAGGGGCACGGGTGTTTCTCCCTCTCTTCCTTGGAGTCGCCCATGGTCACTGTTGTCCACCAGTGTGTAGAAGTTCTCATGATCACAGTTTTTCTTTGCCACCCTTCACCCCTCTAACCTATTCTCAACCAGGAAGAGAAAAGGAGAAGTGGTGACTGTCACCAGATGAGCTACAGGAAGGAGGATGAGGATCAAGCATGGGATGATATGGTCCAGTCAGGGTTTTCAGAGAGATGAAGGAGTTTAGAGGCCAGAGTAGGAAGAACTGGTCCATTCTCAGCATGACCAATCTCTTTGATGTCTTTAACAAAAATATCACCATCCAGCTATGGTACTCCTGGGATCTATACAAAGATTTCTCTATCCTAACTATCCATGTTCATTGCTGCTAAGAGTTATGATAGCCTGGAAACAGAACCAACCAAGATACTAATGAGTAAGGAATGGGTAATGGTAATAGTTTTACACATCCCTATACTTGTAGTTATTCCCATTGAATTCCATGTTTATTTTAATGTCTTTTGTGTGAGCATACATGCCTGTGTATAAAGCCAGTCCTGGAACGTAGAGACAGTAGATCCCTAAAACAGGCTGCCTAGAATGACTAGCCACTGCAGAGAGATCTGGATATGATTGACAAGACAAATCCTTCATATGGAAGCTGGACAAGTAAACCCAATTGGAGAGAAAAAGTTCCAAAAGCAGTTTCCCTGTGCCAAATAAACATTGCCATTCACCAACCCAGCTTCAGGAAGAAAATTTTCCTTAGCAATGACTTAACTCTTAAGCCTTCTTAGTAGTTAACCTTCAGTTAAGTCTCTGCTACACAACCTGTCTTAATTTTATTTCTGTTGCCTTGATAAAATACCCCCCAAAAAAGGATGTTTATAGAAAATAAGGAAATTTAGCTTACAGTTTCTGGTTATAGTCCATCATTGTTGGGGAGACAAGGGTACAGGAAATTGAAGTATCTAGTCACACTCATAGTCAAGAACAGAAACAGAATGAGCGTGACTACTCAGCCACATAGGGAATGGTGCCACTCACAGTGGACTGGGTCTGCCCCCATTGGTTAATGCTTCTAATCAAGACAACTTGCATGGATATACACAGGCTGATCTGATCAAGACATCCTTAAGACTCTCTCTCTCTGCTCTGGTATTTCTAGATTGTGTCAAGTTGACAATTAAAAGGAGCCATTCACAATCTCTCAGAATTTTACCAAATAATCAAAGATATAAGGAAGGCTGTTTACAGGAGTGACTACATATGGGCCACCCTACAGATGGAAAATTTAGTCAACTGACTGTTCTTTGATAGAAGCAAATCATTCCTTTTGAGCTAGAAAGGTAGCTCAATCTGTGTTCAAGCATAGGGACCAGAGTTAGGATCCCTGGCACCCACACACAAAGCCAGGAATGACTCTATGTGCCTGTGACCACAACATTGTAGAGTGAGGTAGAGACAGGAAAACAAAGGTTTGTTGTCCAGTTAGCCAGTAGAAAACCTAAGTTTCCAGATCAGTGAGAGACCCTGCCTCAGATCAGTAAGGCAGAAAGCAATAGCAGAGAAGAAATGAGGTTTTCCTTTGACCCCTGCACGTGTATAGTGTGCACACCTGAATACTAACGTGCATGCATCACACAGTCAAATGAAAATACCTTAATTAATTGTTTGAGACATTCATACAATGTATTTTGATCCTATCCAGCTGCCACTATTCTCCTAACTCCTCCTACTTCCCTCTACCCTGTCACCACACTCCAATTCTCTCTCATCTTTATTGTTTTGAGACAAGATCTCACTATGTAGCTATGGATGCCTGGAACTTGCCATGTAGTCCAGGCTAGCCTGTAACTGACAAATTGGTGTGCCTGCACCCCCAAGTGCTGAGATTAACATTGTATCCCACCACACCCTCACTTTTGCTATTATTAAAAATAAATAAATACAATATATACTGATTACAAGTTTCTGCTCCTTCTACTCCTCCCATTGCCTCCCCACTATCCCTTTCATATGGATTCACACCCTTTCTGTCTCTCATTAGAAAACAAACAGGATCCTAAGGGATAATAATAAAGTAAAACATAAATTATAACAAGGTACAAAACAAAATCTAACACACCAGAGTTGGACAACTAACTTGTGTCTGTCACCTGTATAGCTCGGACGACAGCAATGCCATCATGCATTACACTATTCTACTTTAGATCTTTTTGCAATTTTTGCAAATTGACCTTTGAAAACAATTCCTTGTCTCTCCCTTTCACCAAGATTGTACATTCTAAAGAAAGTTGCCTATGAGGGGCAGACATTCTAACCTCTGGTGTGCAGCATTACAGGAAAGGGAAATAGATAAGCTATGGTCACAAGATTGCTTAGTCAGATCTCAGAACCAGTAATGGACTTCAGATCACATCAGAGAGCAGGCCAGGGGCCTGCTGATCTTGATCCTTTCAAGTCCTGTAATAGGGGTCAGGGAGTTGCCTCAGGAGGTAAGAGCAGATCTGAGTTTCCATGAAGGGTGGAGCCATATCTGTAATCTAGTCACTGTGTGTGTGTGTGTGTGTGTGTGTGTGTGTGTGTGTGTGTGTGTGTGTGGTGACAGGAGGATGACTGGGTCTTGTTTGATGCCAACACACCTTTAAGTTTAGTTGGAGACCAAGTCTCAAGGGAATAAGGTGGAAAGTGCAGGACACAATACCTGACATCCTCTGTGTGTCACCCTGAGCAAGCACTGGTACATGTGTGCATACATCAAACTGCACACACATAGAGTAGAATAAGGTTTAACTTACAAAAAACTAACAAATTTGTCTGGAGAATTGTAGGACTGACCTAGGAGATAAAGATCAATTGTGTTAGTCTTAACTATCAACTTGACACAAGCTAGAATCACCAGGGAATAGACTCAACAAGGGAGAGTTTAGATCAGGTTGGCTTGTGTCTTGGTTCTTAACTGTCTTGATTGCCTTACTTGATGTGTGAAGACCCACCCACTATGAGTGACACCATTCCCTAAGCAGAGGATTCTGATCTGTGAAAGAGTAGAAAAATAAGCTGACTATTACCATTTATGTGCTCATGTTTCAGTTCCTGATTATGGAACAGATGTGATGAAGCCAATCTCTGAAAGCTCATGCCACTGTGACTTCCTTGCTCTGATGGACTGTGACATGGAACTGTGATCCAAAAGGATCCCTTTCCCCAGCAAGTTGCTTTTGGGTGATATTTTACCATAGCAACAGGAAGCCAAACTAGGACAAGTTGTCCCAAGAATATTGAAGTAGAAGGGGAAACTAATACAGGAAAATGATGACAAAGACATTGAGCAGCAGGTGGCCATCATACACACTGTCCCCTGAAGTTCTGTTTCTTTCTTTATGACTCATCTGTCAACCTTAGCTCCCTTAGAAAACCTTTGTTTGAGGATTTATTTTTCAGATATACAACATCCTCCAAAGAGGCTTATATTGAAGGCTGCTACTCGATGCAGCACCAGTAATAAGAGGTGCTTCTTTAAAAAGCAATTAAATAATAAGAGCTTTAGTTTGATAAATATATTAAAGCTTTGATTAATTTATACCCGGATGAGCTGTTATGTTGTGGGAGGAAGTGGGTATCGGGACATGCATAAATGGTATCTCTTGTTCTCTTAATTTGTGTCTCCTTTTTTTCTTCTTTTAATATTCCTCTTGTTCTCCTCTTCTTCATCTATCAATTAAATGTTTTGTTGTTTGATGATTTCACATATGCATATACTATGTTTTTATCAAGTCCTTCCATTCTTTCCTCTCCAATTCCACTCTG